CTCCTACAAAATAGGAGTTAGAATATTTTCGCTTAAATCTTATTGTAGTTATAGAGCGATTTACATCTATTGTACAATTGAAGTACAAAATCTGAAAAGTGTGTTTTCGTTTGCCAAAACTCATCAAGGAAGAAATCTGATACTAAAGAATGCAGGTGTCGCTAACTTTGGTTGTTCTGGACATTGAGAGTGTAATAGAGACACTGGTTTACATTTAAAAGGTACACAATTAGAGTGTAATCATTCGTATTTTCATTCAATATGGAGTGTCATTTTTTAAACTTGTGCTAAGACCCAAAGAACAATAAAGATTTCTATAGACCTTATATATAGAAAAAGTTATATCCAAATATATAACTTTAAATGGTACTGAAGAATTTTTTCTAAAGAAGCAATTATCGCAGTATTATTTGATACATGTTTGGAGAACACAATGGTGTTAAGACTTCATATGACAGGTAACTACGTTAAACAACTGTGATAGATACTGTGAACAAGCCAGTAATAAGAATACCTAGAAATATTTTGTAATATGTGTAGTAAGCTCTCAGAACATTAAAATTTAACTCTAAACCAGCAGTTATTGCATTAAAAGTACTATTCTCTTTGTACTGTAAATCTAAAGCATCTCTTTTTTAAATTTAAAATAAATTGACTTTGTGTAACAGATGATATTACATGTATCAGAAACAATTCATTAATATTTATGACTTCTGAAATTCAAAACCAATTACTATAAGTTATTTACATACATATATATATGTAATATATATATAATAAATATATGTATGTGCCATGCTAAGACCGGCTTTTCTCTGTTATCTTCTTAAGTTTGTCAAGGCATATCGATTTCATATTTTTCTGTGTTCTATAGAAAATATATTATTAAGAAAAACAGTTATTGAATGAAATTAATTATAATTATTCATAAAATAAAATAATTTCCGCCAGTTAAGGCTAATTTAATAAAAGGCATATATATATATATATACATAAATATTAGAGATTATGTTATCAGCTAACACAGAAAATTAGAGTATGATATAGAGTATGATTATGATATATTTAATCATACACATTAGAGTAGAAGGATTCAGGCCGCCAGTGGAGCAAGGTAATGAGATCTCTATAGATCTCAATACTATATTCTTTTCGCAAAAGATTAGAAGTTCAAGTTTCGATAAAACGTTTCCAATTTAAGGTATTAAACCTGCAATGAATTGTGTTTTGTTAGTTATTAATCGATTTGTAAGTTTTAGTAAGATCAGTTAATATAGTGTTGTTTAGTGCGGAAGGCTTAAAACCACAGTGCTTCAAAAACACACGTATCAAGATAATGCGCTGGAATTTCTTTCGAAATTTCAAGAAATTTCCGCTGGCACCAATTGAAGTTATCTGTTTGGCATAACTTCTTCCTTGGCTGGAAGCGAGGCTCATCCTACCTCTGCTGCTCTTTGGGTCACAGCACCTGATGTGAGTACGCAACTCTGCTCCGAATGAAAGTAAAATACAATTATTCTTCTCGCTTAAGTTTAGGTCTTAACCACAGCTACCACGACACTGCTAACCTCAGTTAATCAGTACAGTCGGAGCTATCCTCCGTGGACATTCACTTGCTATTAATCACACTCCACACAGTGTCGGAATAGTGGCGGAAAATTTGGTCGGCTCTTACAACAGGCATGCTTTATCTCGGGAATATTCTAACCCCTTATCCATAGGACGCAGTAAAAGCAGTTATTTTTCATGTTATTTGTGGAGTTTCACCTCACCTTGTATGCTGTAGGTTTCAAGTCAATAATTTAATAGTTTTAAGTTAAGTTTAAGTGAATCAAATCAAATAGATGAAGAGGTAACAGCGCTGGTTGGCGATTGTACAAAATGTTGGAGTAACTCGTTATACTCTATGGGTGATGGAGGTCTGAACCTTCATCACCTCCTTCATCTGTGTGTATATCGAGATTTGACTGCCAAGAGATTTGACTGTGCTAGTTATATGTGAAAGCAAGACGATTGCATTAAAGTAAAAAATGTTCAATGTTGATTGTTGCATTATTTACAAATACATAAGATATATATACGTACTTATACATACTATATTTAGTTTATTAATTAAATAGAATAAAATGTCAATCTTATTTTTAAATTCAAAAATAAATTTAATACAATCAATCAATTCAGCTCCTTAAGTACTTGTCGGAATACGTTGTGGAAGGGTGAGGATATCTCGTGTTCGATGAGTCTGAGTAGGTAGCCTAAAATTGATACTTTTTCGAAATTTTCTTTCAACTTTTCTGCTCTTAGGTATAACATATCAAATAATTTACTTGATATTTTTTAATTATAAATATTTTCTGTTTTGTCTCTTTTTACGATTTTATTCTCGTATCTCATTCGGTGTTAACTTTAGCAAAGCATCAAAAAATCAGTAATTAAATGCCTGAACATAAATTAAACAGAAAAATAAAGTATAAAATGTAATGAATGGGAATTCTGAAATGAGTTTAAATGTTGCTGAAACATGATTACCTGAGAAAAACAAACACAGAGGCAAGCAGAGTATCAAACGCGCGACGTAAACGATACGAAACTGAGCCAGTGAGCCTATCAATGTCGAACCAACCAATGCGAAAATACCCGTGTTCAGAATATTTTGAAGGTTCCTCTAGACTCCAGCTCGGGCTCGGGCTTGGGCTCGAGCTCGAATTCAAATTTGAACTGAAAACTAAGTGACTGTAAAATGCAAGAGTTTGAGCGCAAAAAAGCAAAAAACATCAATAAAAATTAATGCAAATGACGAGGTCGTAACAAATCTGTAATCGATATCATCGATTTAATTTTCTAAGGTGACGGCAGTCTTTAAAATGGTGTGTAGTTGCTTTCTGTTTTTGTCTTTTTTTTTTTTTTGTAAGTTACGCATGCTTTTTCATTTTGAAGAATCGAATTGTTTAGAAAATTGCAAAAACAAAAACAAAACAAAAACACGAAAAAGTCATTACTGATGTCGTCTCTAGATAATCAAGATGGATGGGTATGACTAATTAAGAAACACATCTTTGGTATCATATTTCAAGGTAGATATAACTTATCCATTCTTGCTTTATCGGCTTAGGATTTTTTACCCTTCGCACTATTGTATATAGTGGTATAATTAGTTTGTCAAGCTATTTGTAACGTACTTACTCTATATATATGTATGTACAATATATATAGAGTAAGCTGTAATCTCCACATACGTATATAACGAGATTGTTTGATAAGTCGGTGATAACTGTGATGAATATATAGCTTCTAAAATAGTTTTGAAATTCTATTTTTTATGATCTGGCAATATTTAAGTTATGTGTAAATTATTTTCTTATAAGATTTTAATTTATTTTTCTCAAACACGTTTTAATTAATTGCAAAAACTAACTTTAGTCTAACTTTTCGTATATGAGACTTTTGCCTTTCGGGGAAATTGAACTTAGGTCTCAGTACAAATGGTGAGAGTTGCTCTCCTATAGAAGTACATATTGAAGTATGATTTTCTCTAGTATAATTACGTCGTGTTTACTTACAATGAATTTATCACTTCCACTCAGTGTTTGTGAAAATTTCAACGTAATATACACCAATATATGCCGAATATGGGAAAAGAGTGAAACAGTGTATTTCTACTGATGAACATGTCTGAAAAAACCCAAAAATAGTTCCTTTAGAAGAATTGCATATGACTTTTGTTCCTTAAAATCCATATGTCATAGACAATCTTGTGAAAAAAAGTAATGATAGATCCAAATTATGTGTTGCTTTTGGAACTCTTCAATGAGGAAATGAAGAGAAAGGGGTAGATATTGAATAAATCATACAAACAAAGCAAATTCTACCATCCCTCAAACAACTTATGTGATGCACGTCTGTTTGCATTTTGTGCACTCACTTTAACTTTTGTTCACGAAGTCTTTGAATAATTTCACTGCGAATAAAAACCATAAATCCAGATATTCGAAGACGTCGGATTTACTAAAAATCCGATTTTATTTTCAACTTCGAAGACTTCATTTACTATTCGATTAATCGGATTTTCGGAATACATTGTAAAACCGGATACTAACAACACTAGTCGGTATACAACTAGTGCTTTGTTACAAATGTCAAGACGTTGAAGAAAACCTATCGATCCAAATTAATCAGTTCTTCAGATTTATTTAGATAATATAACTACTATTGTCCATTTCTCCCAGTGGGGCAAAGGGCCTCAGTAATTCTTTAAAATTTGAATTTATTTGGTGCTTCTCTATATAGATGTCGTTGCATGATTATCGTTCTTCAGGTCTTCTGTTACCTTGTGGATTCCATATCAAATATTGGCTCTGGATTTAATTTCTCGGTTGTCTAAGCGTATGATCTATCCAATTTCTCATTTTTATTTCAGTTTGTGGTGCTTAGATAATAGATAGGAGAATAATAAAAGGATAATATCAACGATTTTTTATCATATCTTTTATATATCTTTAGAAAATTTTTTCATAATATAATTTATGAAGGTATTATGTTATTGGGAAATTTATGTATATATATATATGTATTCCCTATGCATTTTATATTCGCTTGATTGTTGAGTAATTAGACGGATATCGTATATGTAAAATAATGCATACATTATTATAAGTAATTATAATCTAATGGTTGAGATAATATAAAAATAATACAAACCATTAAAATATTTTAAATTGACACAGGAAGTCTGAATTTGGCAGCAAAACTTCAGATTTATTTTCATAGTCATAATAATTGTATCTGACGAATGAACAATATTGATTTCAGTTTAGATATCGTTTTTCACAATTAGTTTGTCTAATAAAGCTTATACTTTTATTAATTGCAAATAATCGAAAAAAAAATTGTATTAAATAAATCACGAAAAGAATAAAATGATTAAGTTTAATTAAGACTTAGCTTAGTTGATATAGCAGTGATCTTCAGTAATATTCGCAAGCGGATATATCTTTTCAAAAATGTATTTAGCAGGATTTTCACTAAAAAGAGTGATATTTTTTTTGTTATGTTTTGTTAAGGTAAAAACTTTTAAAATTATAAAAAAAAAGTTAAAACCTTTCTTTAATAGGTTTTTTCCTATATTGAATTTACTAATATTGTATGTAATAGCCTCGATAAAGATTATGTCAATTTCGATTATTGCTACTTGAAATCGGTGAATCGTTCTTACAAGTATTTATCCATAAAAGCGAAACTCTTAAAACCAGTCACAAATTTGAAGGTACGTTCAGTGTTATACATTTATTATAGTTTAGTGATCCAGATTGATATCATTAATATTAAAAACACAGATTCGTTATGCTTTTTTAAAAAGAGAAAATGGCTATAAACCATTTCTATACAATATAACATTTGATGGTTGTGGCTTTTTGAAATCGGCCAACAATCCAGTAACGAAATTCCTCTTTGACGCTTTTAAGGAATACACAAACATTAACCATTCCTGTCCATTTTATGTGGGTACCCATAAACTTAAGTTGGCTTACAATATATAGAAATAGAATATCATATTATGATCTTATTTTAGGATGATTTCACCCTGGAAAAACTTGATACAAAAACCTTAGCTGATAATTTATCACGATTGCCAGTTCCAGCTGGACAATATGGATCTTTAGCAACATGGTTTATCTCTAACGTTTCACGTGCAGAAATCAAATTTTACTTAAAAATATTCGAATGAATTATTTTTTCAATTGTGAGAATATTAATATATATTGTATTATACATACATATACTTGTTTTTTTTTATTGTGTTACAAAAATTATTAAAAAGTTAAAACCCCTAAAAAAATTAAAATGATATTATAATGACAACACAATATTGTTTTTACGTCTTTAACAATATTTTTTTTTGGTACTGCGAGTAAGAGAGTATCTTTAGATCGTTTTAATTCGTTTAACTTATATTTACTATATAGTCTTTATAAGGTTTCCGATGTGTCTTTCACAGTTTTACAAATATTTCGTCAAACCTATATGTGCTTTATCTTTGCGAAGCGATTTATAACTGGTCTTAGGCGTAAACCGTTTGGGGTTGTTAACTTTTTTTGTTTTTATTTATCTCGAAAATGGTTTCGTGTGAATTTATCACGTCCATATCCAATGTGCTGGCTGCCCCTTGAGCAGTTGTATTTGCAGGACTTTTCTGGTTACCCATGGAGTCATATATTCGTTTGGGTTCATTTTCAAGCCTAAACATCATTTGATTTTTATGCATGTGGTCGATGTTTGATGAGTGCAAAGACCGTAAATATAAAAACTCATTTGTATAGCGAGTCGTTTGATTCAAGTACAGACGCCCGTTCAAACTGCATTTAGCCTGGTGAAAAATGGTGATTGCGCTTAGCTTTATTGCTCCTACAAGATCTTACAGACAAAGATGGCCTTTACAATCGCTACACTACCGTCGACATCGCTGGAGATAACATCGCAACTATTAAGACCTCTCATTACGGCAATGTAACAGTCCCCGAGAATGTTCTATGTTTCACGGGGAGAAAAGGACTCCAGTAAGTGAGTAGGTAACTCTTATTGGAAATAGGCGTTTTCGGTACTTATTTATATTAAAATTCCTGTATAATCAAAAAAAGGTTTGTTAAATGTCTTAGGTAAATGGTACTTTCTTTTTTTGAATTCTTATGATCTCCTTGACGAAAAGGAAATAAAAACTAAATCTATATCTAAATATATTACTTTGTTACATTTATCAGAAAATTTTATGCACTACATTAAATTTATATTTTATATATACTTTATATTCTATATGTTAGTACTTTATATAACATATTAGAGTATACCTAAGTACAAAATAGAACCGCCTTGATTAAAAAGAAATAAGAACAGAATATATATCGATTACTATTTAAAATAATATTAAATCGTATTTCTCACTGTCTTGAAGATATCTTACAGAACTGTATTTACTATATCTACATTATATGTTATGTGTGTACGGTATAAAATCAGAATAGAATTGTTGTGATTCAAAACATGTAAAAATAGATTATATATATCAATTGCTTTATAAAATAAAATTCATTTGTATCCTTCACTGTGTTACAAGCATCTTAGGATTCTTTATCAGTTAATATATTATGTGTGTAGGGTATAAATGCAGAATAGAACTTGATAAAAACTAAATAAAAATAGTATATATATCAATTACCATATAAAAGAAAATTCATTGGTATTCTTTATTCATACGTATCTCAGAAACCTTTATGCACTATAATTACTTTATACGTTATGTGTGTAGGGTGTAGGTAGAGTATAGATCTTGATAGAAATAAAATAACAACAGAATGTATATCAGTTACTATATAAAATAAAATGCATATTCGGTGAAAATTATTATATATTATTTGTTACAAATGTATACGAAAACTGAGCTCATGTTCGCATAGAGTGTGTGTAGGGTATAATAACTGAATATATATATCATGTGTTGCATAAAACCAAATTCATGAAATAGTTTAGTTTTAAAGTTTCAGTTGCAAATACAATGAAATTTATAAACAAACATGATTATTGAATTCCAGTTAAATTCATATAACAAAATCTTTAGCAACTGCAGTCAAAAGTATCTGCAATTCTAAAGACTAAAAGTCAGTCATCACCAGACAGACGCTCATGTGCAACAATATGCAAATAATGCAACATATGAGCTTGCTTAATTGTTATGTGATATCATTGTTGTTGCAATATTTTCAAGTTGAGGTATTGAATTCACTGACATTAAATTGCATCTGCTTTTTGGTATTTCTTTTGATACCGGTACCTTGCTCCATTTGTGCGCTTTGACACTGACAGTGGTGCTGGCACTGACACTAGGTGGGTACGCGTGAGTAGGTATTTGGTAGAATGTATGGTAAGGCAGGCAGTATGATGTGTGGTGTGTTATGTTGCATTATGTGGTGCAATGTGGTGATATTACACGTTTTTGATAAAGCAGTCCATCAGGAACAAGTGCACGTCTGTGCCAACATAAAAGTATACAAGTGTACCCATAATAAATGTCTCCAATCGGCCAATCCAATCAAGTGTCATCAAAATTTGATACTCGTACCATTCACATAATGCATAATAAGTTCTTATCTTTGCTTTATTACTCACCAGATACACAGTACCGTGCACTTAGTTCGTATACTGATGGCGATGGCGATGGCGATGGCAGTGGTAGGTTTATAGAGGTACAGTGGGAAAAACACCACTGCAAACATTGTCACGAGAGTTGATATGTGCGAGCATTAACTTACGCCGATTTCAATTGCATTTCGGACGCGTGTGTGAGTCCAACAGTTCTCGTTGTATGGTCTTGGAGTTCTCCGGATGATTGGAGCTAAAGCTGAATTTATTTTTGTTGTGTTTACGAGTGTATAATTTTGGTATTCGTACAGTATCAAATATCGCACCTTGGTTCCTTTTTTATATATTTAAATTTAAATAAATCAGAAAAAGAAAACATATTGTTTGGATAATTTAAAAAAAAAGCTTCAAAATTTTAAATTTTATTTATGTGGATTATTGTGTTCTTCGGTCGCAGTTCGAAGGCGATTATTGTCTTGTTTTTGGTGCTCAAATTATTTATAAAAAAAGAACTAAGTCAGCATTCAAGGAAGTAAACCGATTCGATTTCTAAATAGTCAAGATTAGTAAAGTTTCAAGTTGTGAAGTTCCAATTATGAAGAATTTTAGTAACGATTGAGGAGGCTAAACAGTGTCGACTGGTAGCTTTGAGTGTCGATTGAAAAGGAAGAGTGGCACAAGTGTGCGTGTGTTTGTTCTGTGATGGTTTAAATTTTCGGTAGTTTCGGAGTGGAAATTTACTGTGTAGTGATCGGATGATACGTACAATATTTGATACATTTAGAAGATCGCTAAAATAACAAACAAAGATAAGAATAGAAAACTGTTTATAGTGCAATTCTAATGAAATTGTGAAACTAAAGTTGATATTATGAGATTTATTTAACAGCACCAAATTAATGGATGTGTTGAAGATCATTAATTTAATAAATAAAATTTAATTTTAGAAAAGATTTGTTATTTGCAATAACAATGTTTTTTAGTTGAAAAAAAAATATGAAAATTATTGTAAAATAAACCAATTTTATTTGGAATTATTATTCAAACAAACATGGATACTTTATATTTATTAATAATGATTTGATGATTATTCCTTTGGGTAACTTTAACTTCAAGATAAATTGATTTTTTTATAAAATGTACAAAATTTTAAATAACATGAATATTATTATAATATAAATAAAATAAATAACTAGATAAACAGCAATTGTAATATACATAATAACATAGAAACCAAATATGAGAAAGAAAGAAATTATGAGACTGGCTGAAAACAGGGATGATGTCATAAAAAATTCAAGGTTATATAGTTTAAGGTAGAAAGGGGGTGGGTGGTAAGGTTATGGAATTCAAATCAATAAAGAGTGACATGACAACTGGTCCAAGTTAGAGAGATCAAATTCTAGATTTCACTAGATGTACTTACACCCAATCTCATCTTGTTACAAAAAGTATGGTGTTATTTAAATAGGCGGTGTAAATCAATAGCAAACACCAAAGTAGTAATGACGAAATGGAACTAAAAATACGTTTGAAGTTAGACTAGTCGACATACAAAACAGATTGTCTTTTATATCCTTAACGATTGCCTAATGTTCTGCGATGATTGACCACCATGTTATAACTCTTGATATGATGTCATATCCTGGAAAAACGTATAACAAATTTAAGACGAATATTGTTTAGGGTTTAAGGAACTGGAAATGTGACAATAAAAACTAATTAAACACAAATGTTATTTACATAGAACCTTTGTAGCGTGGATCGATATGAAAGAAAAATGTGACAAGTATAAAAAAAATGTTTAACGAATTCAAAACAAATGTCGTATATATAGACCCACGGTTATATTCTCACACAGGTTTTACGTTATCTGATAATCATTATTTTTTGGAAAAATCATAACAAAACATTCATTCTATAAATAAAAGATATTAATTATCAGCATAATAAGATAAAGTATTTTGGGTATTAACTCACTAACTAAAGTAGTTTATCGATTGAGACTTATATATATATAACGATTATTTGCAAATCCAGGCACTTATGAATATGCATAAAATATATTGATAGTATAATGTAATACACTATAGAAATCTCGTATCAAACAGAATTATTATACGTTAAGAACTGATTAGCCATCTTAACTAGCTCACTACAAATGAAGAAAATGGTGACGACCCAGAATAATCCCATGAACTTTGATTGCTTTTAATCAAATATAGATTTCTTATAATATAAATATAGATCAATTTATAATTTTTAATCAATTAATAAGTTAGTAACTTGAAATATTTAAGGCTTTCGATTTTCAAATATTGAGTATATGTGAAAGGCATAGTCGCTTACTTGGGTCAAATAGTATTAATTGTGTTTCAAATTTTTTTAAATAAATTTTAATACTTCAAAATCAATTAAAATAATTCAATAATAACAATTTTCTCTCTAATTACAGGAATATGCTGAAAATACTATGAACGAATTGCTGGGTTGGTATGGTTTTGATGGAGTTGATCGAATGGATTTGACATCAAAAACATCCAAATTATTGCAGTCAGCTGCTGCTGCTGCATCCGCAAATGCAAATAGTAATATTAATCGCCAACAACAACAGCAACAACATCATCAACAACAACAATCACATCACATGGAAAAGAGACGTAGTCGAAATCGCACAAATGCGTTGCTTCAATTACAGCAACAAAATGAAAATGCTAGAAAAATATCCAATAACAACAACAACAACAACAAAAAATCACTATTAAACTGCAATAATTTTCGTGGTAATAATCGCGAAGCTGTGCTAAGAATGAGTGGTGCTACAGGTGCTAATAATCTGTTACTTGGTAATGAGAGTACAACATCAGATCATGACACGCGTAGTTCCAGAGATGATGACTCAAAAAGTCCACATTCAGCGGGAAAATCCACCATTTTGGAAGAGAAAATAGGTAAATAATATTAAAAATAATATTTATATATGATGTATAGGTAAAAAATTGAAATCCTATCTATCATTACCAAGTCTTTTCTCCATAAAATATGTCTCTATTGAATTCTATCTATCATTACCGAGTCTTTTCTCCATAAAGTATGTCTCTATTGAATTGTTTTTATATCATTTTATTAAGTGGTTTACAAATAGTTGGAGATTTTCTAAGAAGCTGTTTTGAAATAGTAAATTATTATTGTTAGAACTTCAAATAATTCTGCGTTTTATGGATGAAAATAGGGTTGATTTTTATATTGATAATACATCAGTAATAACTGAATTTATGTTACACTTTAATAATAATCAAACACAGAAGAAGAGATTAGAGGCTATTAAAGTTGGAAATACTACCTGTGTTTACTTGACATCAGTGACTCAGATCAGTATAGCTAATGTAGTGTAGATCAAAAGACAATTAAGCATATGCTCTAACCTGGGCTTGGTAGTCGATGATTGTGAAAGTGGAACTAGCAAAAACAGACTCTATATGAATACAAATTGAGAGACTACTCCGGTTTCTTCAAAAAATAACATGGCCTAATGATCATAAATAAATGGAGGTGTCAGTTAAACGGTGTAAGACGGTGTCACAATTCACAAATCACACTTCATGTTCTGTTTCAGCTTTCTTTAGCGACTGCATGGTGAGATAGTACTTCAACCAGAAACCTTGTGAGATTGTGATTCTATTTGGTGTTACTTTGGACACATTCCTTCTAGTGGTTTTTATAGTGGAATTTTTTCGAGTGATTGAGTTTTGTGATTATGTATCCTCTCATCAGAGCAAAGAATTGGTAAACTCTTATTAATTGACATTCGACTCCTATTAAATACTAATCTCTAAAGTGCCGCTCATACTTCTATTAGCCTCTCTGCTTAGAGCTTGGAATTTATTTTAGACTACCTTAGATGGATTAATAAATCCTTTAGCCTGTTTTCAATTTTTATAGTCTGTTCAGTGCTTTTACTATTGGGATCTCTTTCAGTTTCTGAGTTTTACTACCATGTGCTGTATAAAAAATTGTTGAGCTCTCATTAATTGACATGCAGCTAATTTGAATGTTTTTGATGTCATATCCATTTGATCAACTCCATCAAAATCATACCAACCCAGCAATTCGTTCATAGTATTTTCAGCATATTCCTGTAATATGAGAAAAAATCCATATCTCTCTTTTGTCTTGTGTCTTTTATGCCCATGGACCTAAATATTGGTCTTTAAAAAACAGTTGTTAAAAACCTAAAGACAGTTTCATTAACCTATCTGTTTAGTGTAAGAGTTGATGAATCTCTTGGACATTTTTTGACCTTTACATTTGATCTAGTAGTGTTCAAATTAGGTTTCCTCCCCATTTTTAAGTTTTATTTATTTATGTCCCTTTCGCTAGTGAGGTAGTCAGACTTTTTGTTATCTTCGTCGTTTTCATATCACGGGATCCCTAATAAGGTAACGAGTTCACTTTGTCTGCATTTATTTTCCCTCTGGGGGTTAGAATATTCCCGAGGTGAAGCATGACTGTCATACGAGACGACTAAAATCCCGGCGCTATTCTGAATGGTGAGATTTACTTGCAACACCCAAGCGAAAGTGTAAATCTGGTATCACGGAGGTCAGTACTCGCAACTTTGATTGTCCTGACCATTTGAGCATGGCAGTGTCATAATGGCTGTGGTTATACCCAAACTCAAGCGGGAAGAATGTTTGTATTTTACTTTCTTTCAGCGTGCAGTTAGGTGATCCAAAGATCAGCAGAGGTTGAAAGGGCTTCGCTCTTTATGCCCGATATATAACGTCAATTGGTGGCGGCGGAAATTTCCTAGAATTTTCAATTGGGTGTTTATCGGCGCATTAATTTGATACGTGTTTTTTTTAGAACACTATGGTCTTGAGCCTTCACGCTAAACAACACAGGATTCTGTCTCCATTTAATGAGAGGCGATATATAGAAATAATTGATTAATTGTTACTTATTGTGACGGGAATATTCAAATTTAGGTATACCCAACCAAAATATATGATATTTTTAAATTTAATTTCAAATCTATCTTCCTTAAATTAAATTTTCTCCTTTAACGTATCATACAAGCTTTAGTAAAAATTGTTTACGCAGCTTAAAAAGTTTCTGAAATAGTTTCCTTAATGTTCTTATGTGTTGTTAAAGCCGTAAAAGTAGAATAATATCATTAAAAATTGAAAGTTAGAAAATTTGTAATTTTATGCCTTCACCAAACAAAAACGAAGTAATAAAGTGCAACTCAGCTCGTCTCTGCTGTTTTGTTCATGGATAGAAACTTCAGTTCAGTTCAGAAAGATTTTTTTTGTTAATATTTTAATATGCAACCATAAAGCCCACGTACCTCTGTATCCCATCAGAATTTGTGGGCATGAAACATTGAGAAGAGAAAAAGTATAGGAAATTTTGCTAAGCCATCATCGAATGCATCGAAGTTGATGTGATGTTAATGACTATAAGTAAAAAATGCCGAATAAATGTTGTTTAATATAAGTTTTTGACCCGAGCCGAATATTCAATATCCCATGGAAGCAACGCCAGCAGCAGAGGCAGCAGCAGCAGCATGAGTGAGAGCAACTTCCTTCCTTAATCCGAATTTGATATGCTAGACTACTTTTTGTAACTGTTAGGTTTGTAACTCTGCAGCAGCATCGGTAATACATCAGCAACATCTATTGTAGTATCGATAACATACACAACATTGGCAACATCGGCAGCATCGGCAGTAGTATTCGTAATAGTAGCAGATACAAGAAAATAAAAAAGTTATGAACAAAATTTTAAGGCAGAGGAGTTTACTACTTTTGAGGTACTCAAATAACATTCATTAGAGCCAAAAAAGGATAACATCTAGTTTGATGTAACCTATGCGTACCAGAGCGTCTATGCGTCTATGCTTCTGACGTGTGTTCCTTCAATGTGAATGAATATGGTTTGAAGTTAGATAACAAGATATTAATTTGCATTAACTCAGCAGATGCGTACTTTGAAGGATTATTGAATAATATTATTTAATAAAATAATCAACACTAGGAAGAGTAACACGATAAGAAAACTTCACTTATGATTGATGCTAGGCTGGATATTTATGGACATGCAACCAAGTGTATGCATTCCTAAATACATCACAACTAGGAATAGCAACCGAATTTACATTCGTTATCACAATAATATAGTAACTAATTGATACTTGATTAGTACGTTTATTAAAATATATTGGAATATTCCAGACTGTCAGTCAATGCTTGACTGTTTAATTTTTGGAAACAATAATTCAGTCAGAATTGCTCGATAACGTTTGTCATTCACCGTAACAGCAGCTCATTCCTCAATTCGAAAGAAATAAGGAAATAAGGACCGATGATGCCGCCGCACCAAACAGTCAATTTGGATTGGTTTTGAATCGAGAAGAGTAAAATTAGTACGACAACGATGAATAACAGCACATATTGCTTGCTAATAAGGCCGATTATGTTAACCGTAAAATGGACGAAGTGCTCTATGAATTCGCGAACGTATTCCATTTTTTTTAAAATTAAATGATTCATGATGAAGTGCCAAATCTCACTGAACAGAAATGTTAACACAGCTTAACATTTTCAGCTGTCAAACCATAGTTATCGATATTGATAGTTCTCATGCAGCTCTAAAAAAAACACCCTCTACAATCTTCCTTAACTTCAACACACATCACAATGACCTTCTATTTTATGAATGTTATATCTATAGAGATTATCCAAAAGGTCTATCAAATACCCCTCTACTTCAGCTGTTACCTTTTTGTTTAATCTAAAAGGTAGAAATAATAATTTTAGTTTATTGTGTTATCAGTTTGAAGGTTATCTACTTCCAAAATTTTATCATTCAACCTTAAAGAATTGATGCTAAACAGCTTCTTTGCTGTTTGATAGATACAAAGTCATAGTATGTACCAGGTTCACCACTTCTTAGTCTCCTCAGTTTCATTCAATATCAAAAAACTGACGCTAACACTCTCTGCGCTGATTATTAGACACGAACTCATTTTTGGACACGTGCTAGGTTCACGTTTCTTCTTAGTCTCTTGCTTCGATTTGAAATGATGGTGGTCTACCTTTGTAATTTACAATGACGAAATAATACGCAAACTCCCTTCTATCATTTATATAATATTCGGGATGTTGCTTTTAATAAATCTCTCTCGCTCAATCGCTCATCCATTAAAATTATATGACGATTTTCTGCGGCGATTTCTGACATTGATGGAATTATTGGACATCTCCTCATGACACTTTCGTATTCAAATAATTTTAATTCATGATATATGTAAGAGTATTTGTTTAATTTTTGAAAAGTAATCCCTTTTTTGTAATTCTTTGTACTCTTGATAAGTTTTCTGAGAGAGAATGTTTCTTAAATTATTTTTAAACGCTCGGATACATTATTTTAAGAAAAACTGATCACAAATTTTTTTTACTTGCGAATATATCGATAATCTATTTTTTCTTTTTTACAGACTTCAATAATTGCTGCTGGTGTCGTCGTCCAGTGCCTGATAATGCACCAGAATTTCTTACCACCTCTGATGGGCCACGTTACTGTTCCGAATCTTGTTTTACACAGAGTAGACGAGCTTCTTTCAAAAAAGCCAAGACATGCGACTGGTGCAAACATGTACGTCACGCGGTCAGCTATGTTGATTTCCAGGACGGTGCTTCACAACTACAATTCTGTTCCGATAAATGTTTGAATCAGTATAAAATGCAAATATTTTGCAAAGAAACCCAAGCCCATCTTGATATGAATCCACACTTACGCGATAAAGGCTTAGAAGCTGCAGCAGCTGGTAATGGTGCCGGGCTTATAACACCAGATTTATGGTTACGAAATTGTCGCAGTCGTTCAGCATCACCAGCTTCAACTATTTCAGTCTCACCTGGTCCCGTGCCAAATATACGTTTATCTCCTGTGCCACACATATCGCCAACGTATAGAAATCAACATACTGTCAAAGTCATAGCAACTTCAACGCCGCATAAACCATTGATCTCAGTTGCACCAGTTTCGAAATTAATGTCAAAAAGTCCCAGTATAATGTCTAATCGTCAATCACCAAAACATAATCGTAAAAAACGTATTTTAAGACCAAACATCACTAATGATTCCATTAATTCAAGTGGAAAAATGAACCCAACAAGTAACTTGGCACGCGATTTATCTGTTTTGGGTTCAGCCAGTGCTAGCGGTTTGCTGAGTAAAGCCAAATCACTACTGCCACCAGTTAGTGCAAGTAATAATCTTCGACATAGTCCAGCACAAATGAATTCTGTTGCGAAATCAAGTCCATCATGTGCTTTAAGTCAATTTGCAGGTTCAAGTGTGCAAGATTTGCATATGACTGTGCCACCATTATCTCCTATGCTTGAACAATCACCTGGTCCGCAACCGCATCTTAGTGGTGTAGGTCATATGAGTTCAGGTATGAATGCACCGCCATATTTTGCAACTCCCACCAATGGACACATGGCACAAACTCCAAATCAATTGCCAACACATCCAGTATATCCACCATTACGTCAACCATTTATGCCACCACCTGCGTGTAGCATACCACCAAGATTTTTTGGTGGTACTCTGCCACCACCACCCCCACCATTATCTCATATGATGCAACCCGATTTAACAGCTGGCTTGAATGCGTTAATGGGCACACCACCACCAGTGACCATTATGGTACCATATCCAATAATAATACCATTGCCTGTACCCATACCCATACCGTTGCCAGTTGTCGATTTTTATAAAGCCTATTTGTCGCCAGAAGAGCGTGCAAACTTCAATTTGAAGACGGAACGTGATGTTGAAACAGAAACCGAAACTGAGACAGAAACTGAGAAAAACGTGAGAGGACCTGGTAAGGCGATATCGATAGATATGAGCGTTGAGGATGGAAATAGTAAAAGTGCTCACGAAGAACCGCTTGACTTTACTAAAATAAAGCCAGATGCTGATGTTGATAGAGATAATGAAGCAGAACAAAATATAAATAATTCTGTCTCAACGACTTCATCTAATAAAAGTATGTTAGATACTCGTACGGACACACCACATATTGTTACGGCAGGGTCTGAAACAGATGAAACTGTGTCCATGTTTCTGGGGTCTACTGACGAAACATCGACAGCAACGATTTCAAAGAAGTTACGATGTGTTGTTACAAGAATTGAAGATGAGCCGAACAATAATTCAAAGCCTGGGTTTGATGAAGCCAACATTAATTGTAATAATAATAATAAAAATAAATTAAACGAAGATGACGATGATGCTAAGCAAAAACTGCCGAAATTCAAGATTACACGATTACATACGAAACGCACCATTGTACAGCAACAACAGCAGGAGCAACAAGAGCAACAGCATCAACAGCAACAGCAACAACAACAACAGCAGCAGCTACAACAAACCAAAGAAACCGCCGAGTGCAGCCGTCCACTACGCAAGCGTAAACGCATTATAGATTGTGATTTCCAGAAGATTAGCTTGAAGGAAGTGTCCACAGAAGACGATGCGCAAAACGATGTAGTGGCTACGACTCGTACAACAAATACAACAACCCCACCATTAAATGCGTGCAATAATAATAATAATAACAATAAAAGTATAAATAAAAAGTAATAGACGCAGTAATATATGTAATAGACGTAGTAGTAGTAGTATTGGTTAGACGTGTATGTAAGACGAAGAGAAGTACTAACACAAAAGTATTCTATTTGGTAAAATAGTAGTAATTTTAAAATGTAAGAATTTGAGCACTCAGTGCAAATAGTAGTAGATTTTAAGTACTTTTTTAATTTTAATTAAATTTATATAAACGAACTGCGAAAGTATTTCTTTTCAGATATAAATATATATATATTAATATAAATAAAATTTTTACAATAATTGCAAAATATTTTAAATATATCAATTAAAAATTAGTACCAGTTTTATACAAAACTTTTGTCTATAGTATATATACAATAGATAGATTATTCTTTAATGCCATTTTTACGAATTTTATTCAAAGTAACATTTCATGTAAGTTAATTTACGACTTTTATATAAAAACGATGACAGACCCTTGATGAAAAAGTTAGGAGCGAAGGAACTAAGACATCAATAAATCAATCACAGTTTAGATGGATTTATCTATAAGTTGTTAATACATCTTATTTGTTATAACGAAAATGTCTATTGAAATAGAGTTTTAATTTTTTATGTTTTTATTTTTAAATCATCATTTATATTTTCAAGTGATTAAATTGTATCATATCATATATATTATGCTGAACAAGATTTATAATTTGTTAATCGATTGGGAAGCAATTCCGAATATGTAAGAAATCAATAGATTAATAGTTTTCTAATCGGTACTATAGCAATTAAATTATGTTTATTTTTTACTTTTTTTTAAAATAATTTAATAATTTATTAATAATTATAATAAAAATAATAACAGTATCTATTTTTATATAAAATATCAGCTAAAAGCATTGTTGTCATCTCTATAAGTTGTTAGATTCTCATTTCATATGTAATCTAACATATATTAAAAAAATATAATTAATAAAAAAAACTTATAAATAAATTAAATGGTTTATAAATTAAACGATTATTGAAAAAAAATATTCTTCTCCTTATAATATATCTTCTTCTTAGCAACTCGTTAACGGGTTTCGCTCTGACGCAAAATCTCTCGTGAGCGCCTTCTACAGTTTCGTACATCAAGTCCGGTTAGTGCTCACATACTCTATCGGAGACACACAAAATACCTCTACGCCTTCTTTCTCCAATTACCGCTTTAAATATGTTTTTCACTGAAACATATTAATTATTATATTTATGTTATCTTGAATTATCTCATAATTATATTTAAAAAAAATATTAAATAATTATATAAATTTAAATAAATTAAATTATTTAATTTAAATAAATTTAAGCAATACTATATATCTTAGACTGAATTTCTAATAGTTCCGGAATCTCATAGATGATTATAAAATGATTAACGATAGAAGTTATTCCAGTATTTCAGTATTTCGGTAAAGCGAGATTAAATTCAGAAATTCCAAGCATTTTTTACAAAACATCTCATATATCAGATCATATAGTTAACTACTTCCAATTAAGGTAAACAATTTCAGATATTTCAGTATTGATAATGGAAAATTTTGACCAAACATCATATTTATATCTATTTGTATTTGAATATCATGTTTGTGAAATTAACATTAAAAACGTAGAGAAAGGTTGGTCTGGATTGGTTATACAACCCCAAATGTAATATATAAAAGGACTCTGACAATTACCAAGCTGTCACGGGTGAGAATGCCGGAAATTTATATAACTGAGTTCGACTTAGCACAACAGCTTCAATGATTGACTGAACATACTACAATATCGGTCCTTGTGGTGTACTACTGTAATATGTGTCTCATTCAAATTTGATAAAGAGTCAATTAGGTGAATTCATAAAAGTTTTGTGAATATCTTCCTTACTGAATGTATCTAAAGAATCAAACTATTTAAGAGCTCTGTCTTTGAAGTAGCTTCCAAGGTCTTCGATTCTTAAGCTTTTGTATATTTTCTTATTTCTGATTTACCATGGCGCTTTAAATGAAGTAACATTTCCATAAAGATTTAATTGCTTATTTAGACAGCAGGGATTTTTTTCAAGCTCAACTTACGATATTTATAATGGTTTCAGAGTGGTACATCAGTTCGAATTCGTTGAAAATTCGTTATACACAATATTGATTGGTGACACTGGCTGATCGGAAGATGTTGTTTTGCCTCACATAATTGGCAATTTTATGATATTTTAATATCATATTCCTTACAAGAAATCCTCGTGAAATAACTATATCTTTCAAGTATATTATATGTATCTTCCTCTTCTTTTTCTACCCAAACGATATCCAATAAATGTCATTAAATAACCAAGATATGAAATTACACAATATACATAAATTTATACACTGCCAAAAATTAAAAATTTTGACCGAATGCTGCATATTGCTCTAAGTGTCTAGCCACATCTATAAGATTGCCAATAGCTTGTATTCTGGTCCATTGTTCAACGTTTCATAATTATTAAACTATAATGTTTATAATCATTTAATTTCTTGGCATATCCAATATGCTTTTGCATATGGGACTTTTATCTGGTCCATAAATAGCCGCGGGTTACCACAACAAAAACTATCAGTATTGGTCTGGTTTATTGGTCCAGCGTAAGGTGGGTTTACCTTGTTGCTATAATATCTGATTATGGTTTTGGATATTTGTTGTCCTACGGATACCTAGAGTTTCGTATTAGTAAAGCGATATTCCTTGCAATAAACAAAATATATAAATACTAGATAACCCGACAAACGTTGTTTTGCCTTATAAATTATTTCTAGTTTCTAGATAAATTCTAGTGTAGATAAAAAGTAACTTACTTATTATAAGTGTGTAAGTATGTGGTATATGCATGAAATAGGCATGGAGCCCTATGAACGAAAAGGAAAATAAAAATAACAAACGCCAAACAATATTTATTTTAAGTTATTATAGTTTATTTATTAAATTATTAATTTAAAATCAATAGATTTGTATGATACCAAGTTCCCTGGCAACAACTGTTGTATCTTCAAATTTAAATTGTCTTGGATTGACTGTAAATAATAATAATGATAATGGGCCAGTAAAATTAACCAACAACAGTCGAAGATAAAAGCACTCAGTGTGTCTTGGATTATCTGTAAATAAGCGTTCGATTTAAATGAATTGAGACATGGATCAACTGGTGAAACTTGCTTGCGGGGCATCCATTTTTTTGTTTGAGCCCATGTGAAATAGCGTGGTACTTGTGAATAGAGTAATGTTCTTGCAAAGGCACCAAAATCATCCGTACTATTACACAATTCAAAAAATGCAGTGAGTGTAGTTTTAGGTGGATTTGTACCACGATCAATCACTGTCTCGTTCGTGAAAAATACACGCTGACCGTTTTCAAGATGGACGGCTAACTGAACAGCTGCTGGATCCCGTTCATGAATTAGAAAACCGAAGATACGCCAAGCAGCTTTATTGGAGCTGATGTACCGACCAATTTGGTAGAACGTAATTTCACCGTTTTTGTTCATTGGAGGAGCATTTACATTAGTATTTTCTACTCTAAACACAGCCATATCACTGCCTTTATGGACATACTTATATATTTGATGCTCTTCACAGAACTGCAAAACTCAACATTTATATGAGCATTGTATGTCTTGCTTAGCAGAGGCGAATACGGCACCACCCGCCATTGTCCCCCATTATCGGGATTTCTTCGACGATATATTGGATATTCGTCGGTATTTGTTATAGTCTCATTAGTGAAATCTTTAGAAAAATTTTTAGTACATTTTCCATCTGCCATGCAAGGCGAAGACGAAGAAACGAAGTGAATGTAAATGCTCGATGTAGTTGTTGGCGTAGTTACATAAAATATTAAGAAAAAATTTTTCTTTTTCAAAAATATAAACAAAATTTATGTCAAAAAAATAAAAAATTTTTTGTTAAAGCAATAAGGATATTTTTGCTGGGTAGGGACTCCCTAATCACTTTAGCGGTATGAAAAATAGATAGTAGCCGATTCTCAGACTGAATACGCATATAAAATTTGGTAAAAATCGGTAAAGCCGTTTCGGAGGAGTACGGTAACTAACATTGTGACATGGAAATTTTTTATGTAAGACCGCAAACAGACATCGTTTGGCCTTGTGACTTATTGATGGTTGAATTAAATTGGCTTGTCTGTGAGAATCATTGGAATTCGTGTCAATAAAACTTTTTCGTTTCGGAACTTGCCATTCAAAATGGTGGCTTCGATAATGTTTGTCATCAATTTTTTAATTACCAATCGCGTACTATTGTACTATTGTATTGTATGTGTACATCTGGAAATACGCGGTCAATGAGAGCATTTTGGGAATCAACGATAGTGCAGAAATTAGGGAGCAGTTTTATGAATTCAGTATTTTCATAGACAACTTTTCATATCATAGCAAGTTTTCTTTTTTAAAAATATAAAAAAATTTATGTCAAAAAAATAAAAAAATTTTTGTTAAAGCAATAAAGATATTTTTGCTGGATAGGGACACCCTAATCACTTTAGCAGTATGAAAAATAGATAGTAGCCGATTCTCAGACCTACTGAATACGCATATAAAATTTGGTAAAGATCGGTAAAGCCGTTTCGGAGGAGTACGGTAACTAACATTTTGACAATGTTAATTTTATATATAAGATAAATATGAAATTATATATTTTTTATTTTTTTATTAACATATTCATTAAATAATTTTATTTCATCAATGGTTCTTAACCTTTTCACAATTACAAATATGAATAATAAATGCATATAAAATAGTTTTTTTTTAAATGGAACTTTTAGTTTTCGATTAACAAATGTGACTCTTAATTAAGATATAGTTAGGTAATTTATTTCTAATGATATAATAAAACAAAAAAAAGCAAAATAAAATGCAACGAATGCGATTTATATGAGCAAAAAATAAATGATTTATAAAAAGACAATACTTTAGAGAAATGTAGAAAATAAATGTTAAAGGCAGTATCAAACTTTTATTTTATTGTAAAAATAAAATAAAATTACTAAATTTTTCATGATTGTAACTCTAGTAAAATATTGCTATAATGCATTGAGATAATATTCTTTAAAACTTTCATATTTTTTTTTTATGGTTGTAAAAGTTTAAAATCGGATGAGATATATATTCTTTTCAAATATCGGTAATTAGAGGAACAGTCTGGGCTGGATACTTTCTTAGCCAATCATAAATATATAAATAATAAAAATATCTATATTACTTTTAATATCTCAAACAAAAATTTCTATATTATTATGTTTATTGTAAATAATAAAAGATTAATAATCTTTTATTATTATTATTAATAATAATAATAAAAATCTATATTATTTTTATTATAAAAAAATATTTAAAAATAATAAAAAATTTTATAAATAACAAACAAAATAGGTTTTATTTTTATTATAATAACAAAACTAATCTATTTTATTGTTATTATAATATAAAATGAATTTATATTATAATAATAAAACGAATCTATATTATTTTTATTATAATAATAAAAAGACTCTATTTTAATTAGAAATAATAATATATCACCAAATTAGAAATAATAATATATCACCAAATTATAAATAATAATAATGTTATTATAAATAATAAAAAATTACGAATTTTTTTTTATTATAAATAATAAAAAATATATAATAGTTTCATTATTAATAATAAAAAATCCATACTAATTCAATTATTAATAATAAAATATCTTTATTATCTTTTTATAATAATAAAAAATCCATATTAATTTAATTATTAATAATAAAAAATCTTAATTATTTTTTATTAATAATAAAAAATCTTAATTATTTTTTATTAATAATAAAAAATCCATATAAATTTAATTATTAATAAAAAAAATCGTTATTATTTATTTTATTAATAATAAAAAATCCATATAAATTTAATTATTAATAATAAAAAATCTTTTATATTTTTTTTATTAATAATACAGTCTTTATTTTTTTTATTAATAATAAAAAATCTTTATTTTTTTTTTAATAACAAAAAATCTATTTTGATTTGTTTATTAATAATAAAAAATCTTTTTTGTTTTGTTTATTATTAATAAAAAAATCTGTACTGTTTTTATTAAAAATAGTAAAGATATTGAATTATTTTTTATAATAATTTAAAATGACTATTATATACCATATATTTCATGCTTATATCTTAGATAAGCTTTTATGATTGTCAATAGAATTGGTGAGATATCCTCTTTCGGAATTTAATCCCAGAATTTTAGTTCCAGAAGGAGCAAGGTAAACGATCGTCTGAAATCCTTTCAATTTTTTGAGTATTTATAAACAATTTATATATACGAGTAAAAGAAATGAAAAATATCCGAATTTTTGTAAAATACATATATTAGGTTTAATAAAAAGGTTTTATATATATTAAAAATGAGTTAATAAAAAAAAATTAAAATGCTTTTAGTGAGTGTTTGACTGACTAATCCAAAAATATGTTTAACTGTATTTTTAGGAACAAAATGATGGAGGCGATATAAAATTTACTCCTACAATGATATGATTAGTTTTAATATGAAGTTTTTATAATTATTAATTATTAAGACAATTATTGAATAGAAATTACTGATTATTAGTTTGCTTCATACTTAATGCTCAGTGCTTAATTTGTTAAACAAAAGAAGAAAAAAAATTTGTTAAAGTCGATTATGGCATTACTTTATCACTACTAAAATAAGTTGAAGTTAATATAGATTTGGTACATATTTTTTACTTTTCATTTAATTATGTTAACCCATTTTAGCATTTCAATCTTTAAATGAACTAAAAATTCCTCAGTCAAAAATTAATAATATAAAATATAATTAAGCTCCACGTAAACATAACTCAACGGTCAATCGCAGTAGCAAAAAATAATATAATCTAAAAAAAAAAAATAAAAACAAAATAATAAATTAAATGGAAATCAAACTTAAATAATTAATTGTTTAATATTACTTTTAATTACTTAATTAGTTAATTGTATAAGTCCCATAGTGTAATCTGACCATCCATGCCAGCTGCAGCCATAATTGGTGCATTCCACATAGGAACTTTAGCCTCTGAATAGGCGATATCCATAATACCGCCTGTTTTATGTTCAGTCAATACGGCGAGTGGACGTAAACTCTTCCATGAGAATATGCGTACACGTCCATCCCAACCACCAGTAGCGAAAACTTTTTGATCCGCACGTATGCGTACACAATTTATTCCAGCATTTTTAATGTTGATATCACTGCCATGTTGGAGCTGCATTGATTTTCGTTGATAACTGATGGAGCTTAGTTTGTCGGCTACAAAAAAAATATATGAAAATATTAGAAACTATAGTTAAGTATGTAACTAATATATTACATTTGATATATATTAAGTATATTGTACTATATTCATTTTTAGCCACATTATTTCTGTGGGTTTCTATTATATATCAAGATATCTAAATATTCATAATCATAATTAAATTCCTTAATTAATAAATCTTAATTAAATAAGTCAGTATTTATAGGTTTAAAACTCAGAGGTACGTAGTTCTATGCGTACAGGACAATCGAATAATTGGACCTACGTCTTATTGCAACTATTATCTGTTCTTGCTGCATAGAGTAACATAGAGACCTGTTGGTTTTGCCTCTATTGGCAGAAGCAAATAGAACTTGTACATCTATATACACGATTCGTTTTGGGACTCATTTCCAATCTACCCCCACTTTCTAATAATCCTCTTTCCGGTCACTCAGCCACTACTCATCTACATACTAAACCGTGTATTCGTCATATAATTTCTTTTATGTTATCTGCTTTTTAGATCCCTGTGTATACAACAACAATATTCGCTTTGGGACGCAAATGCGAACTGTTCTGGAACCCCCGACACCAATTTTTTATTATTATCACCAAAAGTTAGTTAGACTTACCCACCGGAATGTCGCTATTTATAAAAAGACGAAGCAAACAGATTTCTTAAGCGATCCCTCTAAGGATTTTAATATTATATTAATACATTTATTTCTTAATAGACTGATTGTGAGGTTTACCGAGTTTTGGGGATACCCAGTAAGTAGAGAACGTAAAGGAATATTATAATGACGATATTATGTGATTTGAAATACTACTAAATTGCTTATATTTTGGATTTAAATTTTTAATCGATATTTCTGGAGTGATTGTTATAATCATGGTTTTGAATCATTATGAACAGTACTAGTATAGACCTGATATATTCAACTTTCAATTTTTTTCAATAGTGCAATTGAAGTTTAATAAAGGTTAGATAAAGATATTTTATTTATATATAATAAAATATATATCTCATTTATATATCTCGGTCTTTTTGAAATTATCAGAAAGAGCGCACCCACAACTTATACTATTTGCTATTTAATATGAATAAAAGTAATAAAAATCCAGCATTGCTTAAAGCTACAATTCACTTACATGCTCCGCCAACAATGCCGCGATTTGTGATTGGATCATAGTCCAGTCCCATTGGTTCTGGCTCCAATTGCAACATATCCACAATAACACCGGAACTTAAATCCCACGTTAGAAAGTGACCAGATTCATAGCCAGCCAAAAGGAAAACTTGTGAGGCACATTCAAATGGCTTGATGCAATACACAGTTCCAATTTTTGGTAATTGCGGATCATCTGGTACTAATAACTGCGATGGAGCTTCTGCATCATTTATGTGCAGAACGCCAATGGAATTTTCATCACAAGGATAGAACAACAGTTCATCACCAACTCCATTTGTGTTGTTATATAGTGCAGTGCGGCAGAAACCAAAGTAATTGCCATTTATAGTACGCTGCCTTATGTAGCCGGTATTCGACATGGACCAAAGTGTAACAGTGCCTCCCTTTTCCTGAGAAATTAGCATATCAGTTGTGTGATGTAGTGTCGTTATTGGTTCATTGCCAATATCAAAATTAAGTGATGAACGATTTGTCTACTTAACAAAAGGAAAATTTATTATTTTTCTTCATTCTCCACAGCAGTGTGTGTGCGTGTGTGTGTGCTTTAAAGCGCAATTACCTGCAAATCCCATAGGAACACGTTGCCTTTTAATGTACCAGCCAGCAAGCGTTGATCCTGATGAAAGCATATGGAATTCACAGGTCCCATATCTGGACAGCGTAAGCTAAATACTGGATCGGGTGGTAACACAGCCATTTTGCGTTCGAGTTACTTTAGTATTAAATTAACTAAAATAAACTTGGCACACTTTTACGTCGTGTGTACAAATTCGTATTTTTATTAATAAATTAATTTATTTATGTAGCAAAATAACAACAACAAATACATTTATTTATCAAATTCTATACTATATACAATTTTACATGAAAAAAACTTAAATAGTGAAACGACGCAGTTTCGGCGTATGGTGTGTTGTCAAACTCAGCTGACAGTTCATTTGTTTTGTTTTTGTTTTCAGCAATATTTCGTTCTTTTTCACATATAGAGGCGCTAGTCGCGTTTTTGGTTGTAAAATCAACTAAATAATTGGTGTACGATATTATAATATCGTATTATTTTTCTACGTTAAAATTTCAATTCGTTTGAAGGTCGTATTGTAACTAGAGTGATGTGATGACCGTATTGCAGAGACTGCAGGTGTTTACGATAAGTAAATCTGGGTTCAATCACTCTAGATTTTCAATCAATCTCTGTACTCCACATATGATATACTTTACATATGATGACACAAAAACACTTACAAAAGTCGTTAGACGGTAATTTGAGTCTTATTAGATGATTTGTAATACTCAGTGAGTCGTAAGAACCGACATGATCCGCTTTAGTTGAAGTAGCTAAATAAAACAAATTTGTACAAAGTCTTGTGGTCCCGGGCGTTTAAACCCTACAATTTTATATTTAATAGAAAATATATTTATATATTTATATTTAATTCCCAGTTTTGCAGTTAAAATAGAAATTTTTCAACATCACGGAGCTGAACACTGGAAAGCAGCGAACTTGTTTTGGCAAGTTCGTTTGCTTTAGAGTTATTCGAGATATATCTGTGTTCAAGTATCCACATGAGTTGTATACCTGTATACTGACAAATCTAGACAACGCTTGAAGGAAGTACACCATTCTTGAACTATAACAAAAGCATGCCTATCAGAGATTTAATCATAGCTTGATTGTTCAAGAATATTGCGATATTTATTTCAGAAACCATATAGATCACGACCTACTTTGCTGCATAGTGAGTCGATTTCTTTTGAAAAACATTACAATTATCACGTCTTATGTTCAGCTTTCTCCGAGTTAGTGTGTGTGGCCACTTTAACTCTATGATGGCTCGGGGATTTCTACAGAGTCCCGCCCATCTCACTGACTAATTTGAGTATTCCTCATAATCTTCGTGATTATTCAATGATTAATCTAAGATCTGCGTACCGCCCTATGCGTTTAGTGAAATAGTGCTAAGTAGGGCAGCCTGTCGGTTTTCGCATATAGCTTCAGAGATCCTACAGATCCCATTACTAACTTTTTCGTTTAGTTTAGAGCCGTCAGTGAAAATATTTACCATTTTAGCAGGGACTACTATGTTTAGAGTCCAGTAACTTCTACTTTCTCAATCTTTGAGGCCAATAATCTCTGTCAGGAAACAAGTTTCGCTATGAAAACGTCGTTTTTTTGTTGTTTGACAAAATCTGAGTCAGTACACTTATATGCTTTACTTCAGCTTTGAATTAGCGATAAAGAGCTTTAAGTCTGATTGATAGACTCAAACCTTTATATATTTCTCGTGCACGCATTGCGGCTACGGGGTACAACTTCTTCAACGTATTATCTTATATGGCTACAAACAACTGAAAACGTTTTCATTGAGTTGGTTATTTGCTAGTTTCAAGAAATGGAAAAAAGTTTTATCAAAGAAAGTTGGACGGTGTTGGGCTTATCCCATTCGTTAAGTTTTTCCGTTAACTCTTATACAACGTTGGATTTGTCCCCCACACTTAAAAGTATATTAAAAGTATACAGCTGATGAAAGGATTATGATCGAGCTGGAATCTCACTGGATAATATATATAAAACTATTTAATGGATTGATGATTGGTGCTATTATTATAATGTCTTATGTTATAAGACAAACACCGAAATGACAAGGTCTTGTGACTAGAGTGTTAGAAAAAAATTGTCTTGCTATATTTTTTAAGCGTTTTTTAAATTAAAACTTCCGTATATTTTTTATATGGAATGTATTCTTAAAGACTGAATATTATTTAAGGTTATGTTTCTATGGAGTTCTGTAAAAAATTGCTTTTGTAATAATAGATACATTTAAAAGCTTTAGAATAAAATCATTGAAAAGTGATTTAAAAATCATTTAGTCTTTTTTGAAAATAATTCTCATTCTGAAATTATTCATAACCTTTGATGTCATTTTATCAATGATATTTGCACCTTACCGTGGAAAAAGAAAAGAAGAAAAATACTATAGTCAAATCCATTCCATTTTAAAAAAATCAAAAAAAAAAAACTCAAAAAAAAAATTATTATATTTATTATCTGATATTGTTTATGTTGTATTTAATTAATTCCACCGATAGATTAATAGGTTTTTGTAACAAATGTGTTTTCTATTAGAAATACTTAAGTTATCAGCATTGATCAGCATTGATCAGTGATCAATTACAGCACTTTTTTAAATTTTTTTCCTCTTTTTATTTCTTTTTTATTTTTTAATCATTAAAAATGAGTTTTTAGTTTCGTTTCGAATTTGTTTGAAAATATTTTTTACTTTACTTATTTAGCTTTTAAATAATTTGCATAATATTAAGCTTATATCAAGTTTGTGCTTTAGAGGTTATCTCGATTTAATTAAATTCCTTTCTGCTCTTAAAACCGACTTCTACTTGATATATGGCCCGAACACTCTTAAGTGGTGTCAATCAGTAAAAGCTGTCAATATCACGTTAATGCACGATTTGTCTGACATGAACGGTTAGAATCTGAATTCTGAATTAATAAACAAAATATTTAATAAAACCTTTAAAAATATTTCCTATCTCTAAGCTTAGAAAACCATATTAGGAAATTTCAACAAGTTTATTTTTTTTAAACCAAATAAATATTAAATAATAAAATATTTATTAATTGAAAGGTGCCAAGAAACAAATATAAATAACGTTAATATCATAATTAATGATTTTGGTGTAAACAGATGATGTTAAACATTTTAATCAATAATTAATTAAATATTAAAAATATTTGTCAGTACATTTTTTTTTTTTGCACAAGAATGTAAATACGGGAAGTGAAAGGAGGTCGACCTTTTAGGCCTTTTTAATTCGAGATTTTTTTCAATTTTTATAACCTCCCAAGCACCTTGATGATTGCTAGCGATTGGCAGTGCTCTACTGGAATAAATCGAAGAATTGTGCTTCTTCACGCTTGAGTGTGGCGTTAGGTTTCCAGATTTCTTTTTATATTTATAAATTTTTGGGCACATTGATGATTGCTAGCGACTGACAGGGTTCTACTGGGTTCAATCGTAGAATTGGGCTTCTTCACGCTTGAGTGTGGCGTTATGTTTCAAGATTTCTCCTTATTTTTATAAGTTTTCGGGCACATTAAAGACTGCTAGCGACTGGCAGGGTTCTACAGGGTTCAATCGTAGAATTGGGCTTCTTTACGTTTGCGTGTGGCGTTATGTTTCCAGATTTTTCCTTATATTAATAAGTTTTCGGGAACATTGATGACTACTATGACTACTAGCGATAGATAGTTTTCTACTGGAATAAGTCAAAGAATTGCATTTCTTTATGCTTGAATGTGGCGTTATAGGTTTTCAGTTGTTATTACATGTTGTTGTCTTATACTGAGCACACAATGTTTCTCAACAGCCTTATATTGGTCCCCATCATTAAAACCACCAGTTCATAAAATATTGTATACTTGATTTAAATGATATTAGTCATACTACTTTCTGTAAAACATATCTAAAATTTTACTGGTTCTGGTAGAACACCTCAAAAATTTTTCTGGTTCTCTGGTCACAACACATTTTGATTAGTAAACATTGGGTTTGAACACGTCGTGAACAAACCTAGCATGTCTATAAATTTTAGAAACATTTAAATCTTTTTACACAAGAGCGCTTTGTAGATGTTAAGTTGAATGAATTAAAGAATTGCGTTTCTGTTAATTTGAATCTGGATACATTTATATAAGGACATTCAGTTAATACGTATTGAGGTACCTAGTATTTACCAACCTAGTCGACAGGTTTAGTTTAGCCACCTATTATCCTATAGTCCAGCGTAGCATGAGAATCGAAGTTACATATTTTAGTAATGTTCAGTCTATTTCTATCCATTAGTACTCAATGGAAGACTTTCAACTTAATGAGTTGAAGAATTGTGCTTCCATAGCGTGAATCTGGATATATATATGTCTAGACAGTAGCTTAAAACGTGTTTGGTGTATGGTACATTCTTCGTTATTCAGTGTAATATGATAACTACATTCTTCTTATTTAATTTAGTTTTTTAATAATTAATATTATTATTATTATTATTATTATTATTATTATTATTATTATTATTATTATTATTATTATTATTATTATTATTATTATTTTAGAAATATTAGTTTTGTTGTTATGGATAAATTATATCTTTAGATTTTTGCACAAAATACTACTATTTCCCTAAACTCTTCGGATTGTATAGATGATTTTATAATTATAGATGATTGTATAATTATAGATGATTGGATTATTATGGAATTAAACCATAATACTTAAAATAAACCACTTTCAGTAGCTGCGATAAGGTCCAATATTTTTAGAAATGTAATTCAAGTTCTTTTCCGAGAAATCTATATACTTACTACAAGCACTTCTCTGTCATAGCGATATCTACCCAAACAATTTATTATTGTCAATTAATATGATTAGTTGTATTTTTTTTGTGAAATATCTATCGGCTTCATTCAAATTGGTATTAGAATTAAAATTTCTTTCTGATAACGAAATTGGAAGTGCAATTCTGTAAAATGGTGTGGAATTTTCTGGAATTCCTTGTTGACCCAGTTTCGTAATAAAAATTTTGGTAACGCTTGCACTTAAGGCTGGAGTGGTTTAAAACCAAATATTTTATGAACACGCAATTCGAGGTATGAGCCATAAAATTCTTCGGGTTTCTATCTAAATAATGGGTGTAATTAATTTTTTGTCCACGTGAAACTAATTTTAGAAATCTTCCAGGAAATTTGCACGTTTTCTCCGATGATATAAGTGGACAAGTGCGCTATGTTTATGAGTTTAGAGATAAATGTAATCGATTACAAAATAATTAATA